TTAACACAAAAAATAAACCAAGTTAATATGGGTTAACTAGTTAATCATTATTTTTGGTTTATAAGATTAGGATAACTTTATAAAAATCAAACCAAAATAAATCATGAAATCTAATTCTCAATTAAACGTAATATTAAATAATGAGAATGAGGAAAAAAATCAATAAAAAAGATTAAAAAACTAAATCAATTGAATTAATCTGTCAAATCCGCAACACAAGACAAAGACAACCCAATAAAAAGAAGATTTAATGTTAAGGACATAAGAACGAGATAACCTCTTATAAATAAAATTTAAAAAACAACCTAATTTAATAGAGGTTAAAACACCAAAACTCACGACCCTGATCTCGGGCTCAAGATATCTTCATAGAAAATAATTCAAAACAGATTATGAAACTCAATTTTTAATTGTCCCAATATTAAATGATAAAATTAAAAAAAAAGTTTAATAAATAATAAAAAAACAACTCGAGTCAACTTGGGTTAACTTGTTAAATACTATTACCGGATCATGAGACTGAAATAACTTAATAAAAAGTAAATAAAATAAATAATTAAGTCTAATTCCTAATTAACTCAATACTAAAAGATAAAATTAGAAAAAAATTACTAAATATAGAGAAAAAATTACAATCAATCAGATTAACTCACTAAACTCGTAATTTGTGTTATGAAAATGAGATAATTTAATAAAAAATATAAAATTAAAAAAATATTGCTTAAAAAAATTTAAAAATAAAAAATAGGCAATTTTTTTTTGTAAGGACACACTAAAACACATGGAGAAAATACTACAGTATTTTCTCGAAATGTTTTAGTTAATTGTTAATAATAATAATAATAATTACATTGGAATGGTGAATAACATGACTCATGATATGATATGGTGCACGAATAGTGATTTGTTGCTTTGGATACACTTAAAAGCCCCGAGCATAATCCCCAGATAAAAAAGGCCAACTGGAAATTTGTAGTTCGACAAGAAATTTACAAGCTAACCATGATAGGCTGCTTTTATGAATGGATAATCCTCATGCAAGCCCGTTGGTAGGACTTTCCTAATTCAGTCAGCCACATCATCAACACTGAAATTTAGTCGCACGTGTTGGGATCAAGAAATCATCTCCTAATTATTTAGCTTAAAATCATTAAAAAATTTAAATAAATTGATTTTATTTGAAATTTTAGAATAAAAAACTAATTATAACTAGAAAAAATATTTACATCCGAGCACACCTTACCTCACACGATACGGTTTGGATGTTAAAATTACTTAAAAGTGGCTGGATATACTTAAAGCTGCAGCCCTATAGTCAGAAATCAGTGGCGTAGAGGTCATCACGCAAGCAATCAGCCAGGTTTTATGGTCCGTACAGAATTATTGAAAGAAGAGGGGAAATATCATCCAGATTATAATAGTTTTAAGACCTGCCCGATGTCTGGCACAATCCAAAATTTAAACTTTAGATTTTGACTGAACTTTTCAAGTTATTTTTTTTTAAATTAAAATAATATTATTTATAAAAAAAATTTATAAATTACAATTTTTACTGGGTTTTATCAAATTAATTTATCAAGTGAGCCATATTACACCAATTTTTTTTTATTTTTTTAACCCGTCCTGATTCCAATTTTGAATCGGCCAGATCAGTTTCAAAACTGTGCAAATTAGAGCTACCATCATCTGTCTCAATTCACCTGGTCTTTGATGTCTCACAAGTGAAGCAACATGTGGGAAATACCTACGATGGCTGATGAATCTTCTTTACAACCCCCAACATTGTTGGACCGAAGGATTGTAAAGCATCGCAATCGAGCTGCTACTCAAATCCTTGTGCTTTGGAAGGGCTTGTCTCCAGCAGAAGCAACGTGAGAGTTCTTGGAAGAAGTCATGCTCAGATTTCCAGAATCCTCCCTCGAGGACAAGGGCGGGGTTTAAGGGGGGGGAATTGTTGCAAGCGTTTTTCTGGAATGAAATAGAAGGGAAACAATTAGGGCAGGTGAAATTTGAAAAGTGGAGTGACCGTTGGTGGATGTTAAGCGGTGTGTGCGAACACGACTGCGTTTCGTTTTGTTCTTTCTGTTTTTATTTCCCTTGTCAAGCCTTGTGTTGGCTTAGCGTAGCTAGTCTTGTTCCTTGGCTTATATTTTACACACATTGGAGAGTTATGGGGTATGCAGAAACAAGAATAACAAGCTTTGGCTCCCTCTCCTCTTCCCTTTTCTATCCCTCTCCCTCTCCCTCTCCCTTTCCCTTTTCCAAGCACCTAAACGATAATTCATTGTAATTCAAAGAATTATTTTAATTTAATAAATTAAATTATTAGTAAAATTTTAATATATAATTTATATTATTTTTTAATTTATTCCATCAAGTAATGGCCTTTTAAAACTTGAAACTTACACAAATTTATATTATTTTATATTTATTTTTTATTAAATAAATAAAAATAATAAGATTTAAACTATTATAATAAAAATAATAAGATTTAAACTTATAATAGTTTGATTATTAAAATTTTAATATTATGTTAAATAATCATGGTTGCTTAAGTTCATAAATCCAAGTGAGAACAATTGCTATTAAACTTGTTCCAGCTGCATGGCCGCGAGAAAAATCCCCACTTAAATTATTTTGTTTCAAGAAAACTTCATTCAATTAAAATTGTTGCAGCTATCTCGAGCACAGGCGGCAGAGGAGATGATCATCATATGCTTGGATTCCTTGGATTTTGTCCTCCCAAACCTGTCTGTCTTTTAGTTTCATTTTCATTTCATTTCTCAAAACAACCTCATATAAAACAAAACCCATCGATCGTGTCCTAAAATTAACACATTCGGGTTGCATGCAACCCTTGGATGACAATCTCCTCAACACGTGCCTCATCTCTCTTTGACACGTGCCTATGGCCTTCTCTCTTTATAACCCCACCTCTCTCGCACACAATGTGTTTATCTACATATATATTTACCATCAGATTTTCATCTCATAAAATCTTACTGAGAGCAAACACCGTTTGATCCAGCATCGATGGCTGATCTTCAAAAATCAAAGCAAAGACGGCGACAACCAAGGTCCCACCAAGTAGTCAAGGCAACTACTGCTGTCACTACCGGTGGGTCTCTTTTAGTTGTCTCCAGTTTGACCTTTACTGCCACCGTCATTCTGTTGACCGTAGCCACTCCATTGCTGATCATATTCAGTCCAGTTATCGTTCCTGCTGTGATAACAGTTTATCTCTTGCTTATGGGGTTCTTAGTCTCTGGTGGCTTCGGCGTGACAGGAATTACTGTCATGACATGGATGTACAGGTACGTACATTAGTTTTCTTTTCGATTTTTGGCTCAGTAAGCGTAATATTTTGAAATGGACCTCTTGAAGGTATGTTACTGGGATGCATCCTCCAGGGGCAGAACAGCTGGACCAGGCAGTCATGAAGCTGGTTGGTAAGGCAAGGGAAATGAAAGAACGGGGTGAGCTGTTTGGGCTACAAGCTGCCCAATAGACACCTTGAAAGACCTGCACGTCACGATCTCCCTTGTACCCTCTTTCGATGGAAAGAACAGTACTGATGTTTAAAGAAGTATTGGGCGGAGATCAAGGAAATTGCTGCGAGGGATATGTGTTTTTGTTGGGGGAGTTGTATACTGGGCTGTGTCATCTCTAATTTTTAGTGTCGCTGTCATTTGCTTCTTGTTAATGAGTCTTTTGTGAGTGTTGATCTTAAATAATTAATTTGCTGTCTTGTTAATTTTGGGTCTGTAATGAATGATGTCATTTCTTAATTTCTGGTATGTTGGTTTTAATTTGATATCCTTTCAACCTTTATATCTTCCTCTCCATTGGTATCTTTCGAGTTTCTAGTGGAAAACTAAATAGATCATGCTTATAGCTAGCTAGGTAGTGGCAAACGCCAAACAATGGAGGTAAATGGGGTACGTAGTTTCAGAAGCCTAGTGCCTAGAAATTTCCTTCCCGATGCCACGGAGTCTTTCATATTGGGTTGGCGCGTGATGTCGGTAATGGGGTAATTTTGTCATAAGCAGTGCTCTTTTTAATTTTTTTGTCCCTTTTCTATTCTACTAATAATTTTAAACTTCAGAGATGTTTTTTTATTTATATACTTATTTTATTTTTTATGGAATTTTTTATTTATTTTCACACCTAGACTTGAGTTTCATTTTTTTTTTCTTTTTATTTTACGCTCTTATTTGATTTATTAGAAATTAATCTTTAAATTTTTTTATAAAATTATACTAATTTTATATTTGTAATTATGAAATTTGCGAGGTAATTAAATAATTTTATTTTTATTTTGTATTTTTTTTTAAATTTTACTCTTTAACATTTGTTTTAGTTTTTTTTTCATTGTCAATTTCTTAATATTTTTTAATTTATGTTATTTAATTTAAATTACTAATTGAAGTAATAACTCAAGCCTCGGAATTTTTTTCTTTTAACATTCGGAGGATGACAGCAAACATAATTATGTTTCTCGTATTGAAAATATGTTGTCACACACGTACATCCCCACACAAATATGATTTGAGCATTTTAGGAAAAGCTTGTGTGAATTGAAGGGCAGAGGATATATTACCCACTACAATAGCTCCATGAACAAACCAAATCTAAATCAGATTACCCATCAAACAATGACTGACTAGTTTCCATTGTTAAAATCCAAGAATTTCTTTTTATGATTTTGAAGGTAAGAAAGGCAAATAGTAATGTCAATAGGTGGGGACCCAGATGAGAGCTTGTTTGTTTGGGGACGTGAGATATGCGGACTTCTCACAAAAATATATCAAACATTATTTTCAATTGAGTTCTAGGTAAAACGCCTCAAAAGTCCAGAAAAAACCCTCTCAAACAATTTACAAGAATTCTTTCTCTTGCCATCTCCCATTTGTAAAAGCGCGATCTTTATCTTCATGCAATCTAGAAAAGAAAAAAAAATATTGCACAACATAACAACGTAGAGATTAAAAAGAAAATTGTAGAACAGCTACTCTCTAGCAATCAGCACGATCTTAAATATTTAATATAAAACAAAACTTCATCGTGTGGATATTGGTGGTTCCGTGTATGTGAACTTAGCAGATCAACAGGAACATAGTATGATGAGCGGAGACGAAGGGAAAGGTAGGCAATTGAGCTCCACAATTAAATGCAAGAACAAAATAATAAATGTAAAGGCAAATTTTATTCCTCCTTGTCCATGCAATCTCTAGCTTTTCATAGGATCCAAATCCTGCTTTTGGATTTGTTCAAGAATCATATTACACATGTTCATCGTCCGCGCATCAAGTAGTCCGTGATTCCACAGTTTGATCATAAATAATCTCCAACACCTGCCAAGCCCATTAGAATAAGTGATATGCAAAATTGCTGGCTCTGAAAGTGGGTGGGCCAGAGAATTTCTTTAAGTGCTTTAATTACTGATAGAACATAATCTGCTTGTGTGTACGTATAAGAGGGGAAGTAGAACAGGAAGAAAAGAAACAACCAGAGAAGAATATGAAGACATTTCAAATTAAAATTGGTAGACGACTTACCAAATCAGAGCTGGGGCTAGGACAAGGTTGTGTCCATGCAATCTCGTGAATGCCTCGCATGCCCACGGGATATGTCCATCTGCAAGAACCCTGCCAGAATGAAAAGCAAGTTCAAAACAAGACAATTTGCACAATTTTATATCTATGTGAAAACAAATGCAAAACAATGTTAGTTAGATCCAAAACAGTTGAAACGGAGAGAGCGGTGTTGAATAGGCATAATGCCCAATTCACCATACTTCCAAATGCCCCCTCCCCAAACTCTCCCATCCATAACTTGCCTCCCAAACATAATCTTGATCAATAACAACAAACGGATACAAAGATCTACATGAGAAACAAAATGCCAATTCAAGGCAGTGCGTAGAGAGAAGATTACCGCTGCTTCCTCACAAATGAGTTCCACAAGTGCATCATTTGCTTCTCATCTTTAGTCACGTCTACAAAATCATCAAGCATCTGCAGCATAATAGATTATTCATGACAGCCTTTTCTATTATAATTAAGTGCCTTCAAGTTACAGACCACAAAGTATCTTCACTAATTTTGGAGTAAGAATTTATTTCATCATTTCATAACTAATTACTCCATAATTGTGCTACCAGCAAATGGTGCAAAGCAATTATATTCAATAGGTCTTATTAACTTGAGAAAAGAAAAAAAAAATTATTCAGTTTGTAAATTTCATTATGATTTACTATGAGATATTAAGTATATTTACCTAATGTACCATAATAATTAATCTTATCATTTCATTATTTAACTAGCTTTACCATAATTGTGATAATTACAAATGATCAATTATTCAGATATCATTTATTCCAGCATTCTCAATTGAATGCCACATATAATTCATTCCGACTTTTCATAAAAAAAGCAGGAATGAATGATATGTGGCATTCAATCGAGAATGCTGGAATAAATGATATATGAATGAGATATTGGATGCATATTGGCTTTTATATAAAAAGCCATAGTGAATGTTATGTGGCATTCAATCCAGAATGCTGGAATAAATGATATCTGAATAGATGTCAGATGGTTATTGGCTTTCATATGAAAAGCTGGAAGATGTAATGTGTGTGGCACTCAAATGGAGTGCCGGAATTACTGGCAACTAATCTAGAAATTCATGGTAATCAAAAAGGGATTACTAGAAAGGATAACATCCGAGGGAAGGATTGTTGATGGAATGATTGATGAATAAGTGGGAATGATTGATGAATTAGTGGGAATAATTGATGTGGACCATAGATGAGGAACCAACATACTAATGAGTTTAATGATTGTATTGTCACTCATTGAATAAATAGACACAATATCTTCTTGCATAAGAAAATTAAACTTTGTTTATTCACTTACATGAAAGAATCTTTAGAAGAATCTTTGTTTATTCACTGTCAATTTTATTTTTACCTTGTTGGCTAATCATTGCAAGTACTTCACATACCCAGTAGGACTTGCTATTCATCATCTTTGTTTAGTATATGTTAGGTAGTTCTCTTATGTAAATATAAACTGCGGCTTTTGGTATGTAGATGGAAATGTAAGCTACTTTTGAATTGTGCTAGACAGATGTCACTTTTTGTATGGAAATATGAGTTCTATTTTGAAATTGGCAGTAGTGTTGTAATGACGAGTAAAAATCATGTTTTCCACTATATGTCAGATTCTCTGTTTTGATTAATACATGTCTTAATTTCTTTAGTAATTAGTCTATATTTGATTATTTAGATATGATAAATTGATGGGAGTCCAGGATGATTGGACTCATGAGGTTGACTCTGTTTGTGGGCTCAAGTAATAATGTCAATAACTAATTGTTTATTTAAGAGAAGAAAAAAGTACTATATATTTTGAAAATAATATTTTTAAATGATGATCAATTAATAAGTGCTTAAACTTAATGCATCCTAAATCTTATCACTTCATAAATTCAAGAGGGACTAACTTCAGCTCAGAAAATCAATCCAACGGAAAAAGGTAACATGTATACCATATGCACAAACATGTTTCAAAATTGCATCATAAGAGTACCAAACTAGTATTAGGCAACTTAACCAGTAAACATACCCTTCGGTCTTCAAAATCTGCAACATCATCGTCAACTTCATCCTCACTATCCCGATCTGACATAACTTGCTCAACTGCCATTGGCTTAAGAAAACAAAATGAACATCAATTTCAAAAATTTGTCCATAGAATCTAAGTAATTCATTAATTTTCTTTTACTCATTGTATTGTAGAGTTAGAATTAAATTACAAAAACTAGACAAATTCCATTAGAGTCATGAGAACATGGAAAAAAACTAATCTGTGAATAGCGAAGAGAACAGTACACACACTTGAGACAGATTCAAACATGTATGACATTGATATTCAGCAAAGCATACGGCAACAAGCTTGACATTTTAGGAACACCAAATAAAAAAAGCCAGTCCTTTATGGTTCCCTAAGAATTCACCTCTATTTTTAATCATCTGCATCAAGATAAATCACTTGATTTTGATGATTTATACTAACATGACAATAAATAAAAAGATGTATGAGCATGTCTTAACTGTTAGAAGTAGACATTATAAATAAACTCTCCTAAGACAGCTGCATGGCTAGAATCTTCAAAGGTGTCACATGCATTAAAACACTAACACAGGTATATCCAGTATGCACACTCTCACTGAAGTTTCAGATTCATGACATTTGTCCATCAATAATAAATGCCAGTCACATACTTCAGAAGAAAGCCTAACATTCAATTACAGGCATAGAATAAGAGTAAAGCAAATGACATAATAGAATTGTTTATTGAAAGACAGTCATTACTCACCTGAGCTCTATGTGAGTGAAAAAATTGTCGTTTGTGAAGGAGCGTACGGCTGAAGAAAGATAATAGTTAGATTAAACCCATATTTAAGCTTCGAAAAATATTTATCAATCTGAAAAATTATAAGCTTCAAGCAATAAACAATGAGTAAAGTGACTACCTCAGATGAAATACATTAGAAAAGTAATTCACACTGTGTATTACAAAACAATAAGCTGCAACCTATATAACAATTACAATCAACAACAATACTCCGACAACTTAGTTGGCTACTTCAAGGATACATTCACTCAATAACATGTTAATTTGAGTCACATATTAAAGCCTAAACAAGTGCAACAGATAAACTGACCATGCAGCACTTCATCCTTGTTGACCAGACCTAACAAATGGTGATTCTACTACTCGTGCATTTTTCAATTGACTTTAGAATTAAAAAAGAAGATATGCTACAAGAATAAAGATGAACTGAGACCTACTTTCTCATGTCAGACCGTTCAATTGATAATTTTCTTGTCTTTGCAAATTGTAGCATGGCAGGAGGTGCAAGATTATTCCCAGGTACCATTTGAGCACATTCAGCATCAGGATATGAATGTGCTGCAGAACCTGAAACCCCCACAACATCAGCACCAGAACGATTGTGTTCTCCATACTCTCTGCTACACAAGCTAGCGGTTTGCAAATCCTTCCCACCTGAAACGTCAGCACTCAAATAAATAAGGTTCTCAACTAACAAACATACAATAAGAAAGTGAAGCATGCAAGCATAAGACACAGCTACAAATAACAGAATTGTAAAATTTGGCACTATGATTACACAGCATAGCATTTGATAAATCTATCGAAAATATCTCATAGTTTCATTGCAATAGACCAACCAATTACTAGGTGCCCGTTAGCTACATCCACTCCAAACTCTGGCAAGTGTACAAAAAATGCCACTTGCTCCTTCATTTCCTTCCCTAAGCAAAACCTTGCAGCAGGAATAAAGATAGATAATGAAGTCCTACAATGAATCAAATGGCTCTGTTTTATTACACGCACCCTATGCTTTCCCAAATTATGTTTTTGGCCCAAAAGAATAATGCTTTGAAATGTGTCCTCTATCCAGTACCTATTATGGAAGAGAGAGGTGACAAATTTTGAAGTTGTGAAGAGCAGAAAAACAATTTTTTTTCTGCCAGGCTAAGTGCAGGGAGCTGTCATTTTTATGTATTTATTGTTCATCAAGATTCCTAATCATGACAGCCAAAAATAAAAAATCTAGCAGATTATGCATTAAGCCATAGTCTAAATAATTCCATAGATTTTGTTACAAGGATGCCATTCATCAGCACAATTCATGTACGTTAGTAGAAAGCACATACCGCCACCAATCTTGTCAAGCAGCTCACCAGCTCCCTGTTGCCTGCTCAGAGTCTTGTCAAGTACATTCTTTGCCTTTTGAACAAGGTTCTTGGGTCTTTTGCGCTTTGGTTTCTTTGAGCTATGGGTAAATATGGACAGACCCATTTCGGTCCATGGTATTGTAATATATCAACAAAATTGATAGAAGATGAATCAATTTATTACTTCAAGCAAGACAAATCTAAGACTTACCAAAAGAAGAAGGTTTGTTGTTTTGGATCAATACCATCTGCAACAATCTGAATAAAAAGAAATTGGCATATAAATTCCAAAAAAAATACAAATAGGATAAATACCATGCTTTGTACCTGACATGGATGCCAAGCATTTTCCCCAAATTGCATATTTAGCAGTTCACAGACCACTTAACTTTTCCCAAAGTTTTTACTTGACTTATATGTAAATGGAATAAAGTCAACAATGACAGAAATTTTCCTATCAGCCTTAATAATGATAAACTCAGAAACTGGCCTATCATCCAGCAAATCATATAATTTCCAATATTTATGCTCTAAAGCAGACAAATCCCTGAAAGCTCTCAAGGTAATGCAAACAACGTAATGTGTACGTTTGTATTCTCTTTTTATTTTAGAGTTTCATTTTACATGGCATTCTATTAAGCATCACGAGGACCTCCTCCCAGCAAATGATAAGATATCCAGTATTTATATGTTTATGAGACACTAAACTAAACGATGCTCTAAAGCTCTTAATAAGGAAGCAATATATTTATGTATATGTTCACTTTTAAGTTTTCTGTTTAAAACAAGCAATATTACCCTTTCTTTGTTTTGTTTTATTTCACATGAAAAAATCATAATAGGAGCATAAAGACCAACTGGATATGGTAAATGCTTGTTGACTTTGTAACTTGAAAAAATAACATATATAGGACAAATAAAAGTTCACATATGAACTGTTGTTATTGCAAATTGGAAGCAACAATGAAATGCCAAGAATTATTTATTACAGGAGTAATTATTCTAACCTCAGATCTCCAAATATCAGTTTTCACAAATATATTTACAGCTTGAAATTCTTCCGTTATCTGCAGGACATACACAGGAATAGTCATTATAGTACAAAATATGTAAAGAACCGAATTCAAATGTAAAGAACTTAATTCACCCAAGATTCCTGTAGTTTACCAACCCAAAATTCAAAGTTGAAGAGATCATGTGATGAAGGCAAGTGATATCTCAGACCCTAAGGAGAAAAAAAAAAAATTATATGGAATTCAACATAAGAACTCAGCCTGAAAGAAAGATAGTCATTGTTTTGTTTTCATCACAAGGAAAAAAAGGATATCAGGAAAACCTCCAACCTTGAAGCTTGCACATTTTACCAAGCAGAATGGGCAGGAAAAGTCTTCAGTTACTGCAAGTTAGACATCCAACACGTTATAGAAGAAGAGGAAAAGGAGCTACAGATCCAGAAGCCCAAGAAAAAACTTAAGAGTGCAGAGACCCATCAATAACAATTGAACAAATATCTACTATCAAGGAATTGATGAGTTCAAAAGGAAAAATCTGTTCTCTTCAAGATTGAAGCTGTTATAAGTTCTTCCATCTAAGCCAAAATGTGAACCCATAAGACATTAAAATGAATTAAAACAAAACAAAGAATAGAAAATTAATTTTACCTTCAGTTTTCTGCAACTTATTATTGTAATACCTATAGTTGAAAATCACATTTCCTGCCCTCAACCTACATAATACAAGAAGTGAAAATGTTTTATCATACTCATATAGGAAAACAAAGAATTCTCAAATCAGGACCAGTGCAATAAAGAAAAACAATATCAATTGAAAAGTGTTTGATGCTAGGATGTATAAGAGAGATTACCGAATGATATGAGACAACGATGAAGAAGAAATGTCACCACAGGTGTATGAATGATAGGAAGATTTTTCCTTAGCCCCAACCTCTTCTGCAGAAACGTTGACTTGCAGCTGTGATGTATTCTTTGGTGAATACAAACAACCAAAATACATACTTCTGTCAGAAAAGAAACATCTAGCAGTAGATATAATAAATGAATTTGAATTTATCCAACTAAAAGGCTTTTGAGAACAGAACAAACCACAGTTTCAGAATTAAATGGAATTTGAATTAAAACACAGTTGTCCTCGGTCAAACAAGTCAACTGCAAGAAGAGAAACACAAAAACAAAGTGCTCTTAAATCTCAAAATATAAAATGGAATCTGATGAGACCTTGAAAATCAGACTGCACAAAACAAATAAATCACATGCTTAAATTACTCAGGTCAAGTAATGTTCCCGGTCATGAGGCTGCCCAAGAAGATGCTAATGTCAGCTTCCAACCATCACTATTTAATCATACAGCAGAAAATCTAAAGCATTTCTACAGCTGAGAACAGCATGGAAAGTGGAAAGTCTACAGGTCTATGTCAAACTTCATCAAACTTCATGAAAGCATGCAAGAACACCAGCAGTTAGTAGCTTCTTTACACGGGTCATTTGGCGGAGAATAAAGGAGCAACACCACTTGGCCTGTCAGAGTGATGTGGTGGTGATAAGACCATGGCTAATTTTGTTCTTCGAATAATGAAATCAAACAAAAAAATCAGGCTTAACCCATGACATTGTGTTATAGGCAATAATTAGACCTATATTGTGATAGTGTTTGTAAACTAAGATCAATCAGGTCCAGCCTCTCTAATGGGTAATAGTGTGGAGTCAGTTAGGATGGAGTCTCCTTATTAAAACATCATGGGTTTAAGAAAAATATGAAAATATAATTAGCTAACCATGAGCTAAAGTTCTTTACCTTCAAGAAGCAAGCCATCATGTCAACAGGAGATGTCACCTCCACTCGTTGTCCCAAACCCAAATTTGGTGACTTCTCCCAGAAATTACAAAGCGAGTCTAATGGTATCTTCCCCAATAGACAGCATCCTCCAACATTTTCTGCCATGTACAAGCAATATTTCAAATTGAAAACTGGATTTCACAATGCAAAAGGACAACTACTTAGAAAAGGGCAATTAAAATTCCATCAGCGAGGCCCAGATTGTGATAATGAGTTGTTTGACATGGCATTTTGTCATTATATTGTCTGGTTTATTACTTTTTTTCTCCATGTAGAATAGAAAGAAAAAATTTTGAACCTTAAAAACATCTATATTAATTTCTTGGCAACAAAAAATTACAAATAGAACAATTATAAGAAAATAGTATAACATGCATTTGAAACACTTTCCAGGTGACATCATATAAGAAGTAGTTAAGGAACCAAAGCATATCTCACATGGAAACAATTCCATACCCAAATGACCGTTGGTTAAATCAATTCCATGCATAGAACTTTGAGCCCCAGCTGCCAAAAATAACAGTGACAGTGAGACCAAATATTCTTATGTGGCAGATAAGTTCTCAAGTACCAACCAAACATATGAATGCATACCAAAGCTGACAAGCAAGACATACAGTGAGCCAGATTTGACCTCTGATGCTAGCTTATTCATCTCAGGGAGAACGAAATTTGTTTGCGCTTGAGTACTGCCCTCGACTCCAGCAAAGTTGGTCAAAACACACGGTCGACTAAAGTGATATACTGCAGAATACTTTATAGCAGGGTACAAAAGCAAAGGTGGAACATTAGAAATAGATAACCACCACATAATACTACCTCTGATAGCACTGATGTACATCAATCTAGCTAGGATAAGGAAATAGATGCATTCTTACCTCTAAAACCCCAATTTTGGATACAAGCCTTGCCAACAAAATGTACAAGGGAAATAGATTATCTGATTGTACAGATCCATTTAGAGTAACAGGCATCGAAATTGTCATTTGTATTCTACAAGTTTAATCAAAAGAAACCTGGTAAGCACCTCAAAAGCATTTACATCCTCAAAATTTAATCAACAAAAATAAGCCAGCATCCTTACACAACTATAACAGGGACCATATCATTAAATCCCTAAACAAGTGATTAATATTCATATAACTAAACACACACACACAAATACACACACAAAAGCTTCAACAAAAATATTTCACTGATGCAAATTACTTCAAACTTAAAGAACAGTGGAAAGGAACATCATTACCTTCTTTTATTCTTCACCTGTATTTTATAACGCAAGCATCTTTGCAAATACGACGGCTACCTCATAGACAAAAAGAAAGTATATTCAATCAGAAACGCAAAACAAATAACGACATAAGAGAAAAAAAATCAAGCAAAACGTAAATATAATTACATTTCCAATGGCCCGACGCTGAAGAATATTATAAAGCTCAACAGGCTTGCAATACATCGAAAGACTTTCTTCAGCAGCAATTTCTTCTTCTTCAGTTAAATGCAAACCACCACCACCACCACCACGTCCCTCTTCACGGCACATCTGATCTATCGTGCTTCTGCTATATCTTCCAATAACAATAAAAAATAAAATCACTCGACAAAAAATTTATTCAAATCCAAAAAAAATGAGAAATTAATTATTTAAAAAGCACATACGAGGAGGTTTCACGAGTGACTAAAGGAATCCCCGGCATTCTTCAGTTACGCTAATTCAATGTTTTGTAGGTTCATAGTAGCTACCACTAATATTAGTATACGAGCACAACTAGGTTTTGTAGGAGACATAAACAAAAAAAAACCTGCAAATTAATTGCAAATTGAGCCGAAAATAAATTAGTGATTTAATCTAAATTTGTAAAAAAATCAAACGATTGAGAAAACAAACCCTAGCCAAACCTGAACAGAGTTGCAGTTTATTTGGTTCGATTGAACGGACCGGACCCAATTTTTTTAGCCGATGATTGGACCGGATACTGAGAGCGGGTGGAGAACAACAGAGTGAGGGAGCACAAGAGCGAGTGACAGAATTTAGTGAGAGATGAAGAGAGAGAAAGAGAGTTTTTATGATTCTTTCTTTCAGGTTCTTTGTGAGTGTCCGCTTTGTTTTTCTACTACGCAGTTGTGTTAGTACTGCGCCGGGAATTATTTGACAGTGCTAATCGGGTCCGAGTCATGCACCTACCCATGGTGACTCATCAACCGAGGCTATGGCTTGCGCCGAGTTCCAAACTAAAATCGCTTGAATTTTCAGTTTTACCAAGCTGATCTAGTTAATCCTTTAATTTATTTTTTTTATATAAAAAAAGATGAGTTTATTTTGGAGAAACAAAACATAAAACTTCATCGTTTTGTACGTCAAACCAATTCATGATCTGAATCATTCGGGAAACTAGGTTTGTTTAATGAGTTTATTTCTTAGAATTTATTTTTTATTTAATCATAAATTATTGAGAAAAAAGGTATTATCTTTCTTAAAATTGCCTTCTCTAATTCATGCAGTTTTGTTTTGTTTTGACAACAAAATAATTTTTTTAATTCCAGCGTAGTTGATTTAATAAAAAAACATCTATCAAGAAAAATACGATAATATGGACTAAAAAAGAAAAAATGTATATTTAAAAACAACAAATTTTCTTATTTACATATTTTTCATGAAAACATGTTTTAAAATTAAAAAATTATTATAATCATAAAAGCATCTATTACAAAATCATGAATCAATTATTTATCTGCAAATAAATGAAAAGGTATGGGAATAATAAATTTAAGAAAAATACATAAAAGTTTTACAATAAAAGATTTTTAAAAATATATATTTTATTTTTATTTGATACCTATAAGAAAATTATTTTAAAATTCTTCATATTAGACTGATACATAATTATTTATAAATTTATTGATATTATCACTGTAAAAAAACTTTATATTCTTAAAAATAATTACATGGCTTTTTATTAATAGTATATTTTTTTAATAACTTTTTATTAGTAGTCTATTTTTTTTTAATAAAAAACGACCACAATTAAAACAAAGGTTTAGTAAAAGTTTCATTATTTAAAAGAAGTAGAAAAAAGGGATTTCTCTAATTTAAACTTTATTTTCTTAATAATGTATCTCTTCATTGTTTTATCAATAACATGTTCTTTGATCATAAATATTATTTTCTAAATTAAAATTTATTGTAATTTTAAAAGCAAGTTTCAATATAAAAAAATCAAAACAATGTCTTAATATTTTTTTATTGAAAGTAAAAAATGATATGATAAAATCATATCAAATTTTATTAAAAAAAATAAAAGATAGAACATTTATTAGAATTAAATATCCATAAGCAGATATTATTTTTTTGCATGTTATGTATTATTGAAAATTAAATTGCTAATATTCTCATAAAAAAGATAAAATATTATTTAAAAATTATGGAAAAAATAACTTCTGATCCAAACATAATGTCAAGCATTTTATTTACTATGCTTTTAAAACAAAATGAAAAAAAAAAATTGAAAAAAAACCCACATAAAAGAGCACGCCTAACTTAAAAGAAAGAAAATCGAGAATGCCTTGGCCCGGAAGGTTAGAGCCGCATGTCTAGCTTCTTCTTTTTTATGTTCAATAGTGAAAGAAATATCATTCATCCTTTTATTTATTTATTTTGAAAAAAATAAAGCAAAAAAAATGTTATTTTCTGGTCTAGATGGCAACACTTAAAGAGTCGTCAAAAGGTCAAGATCTAGCTTACAGGACCAAAAAAATAATTTTCAAATGTTTTTACTCGAAAACACTATAAAGATTTTAATAAATCTATTTTAACCTTAAATCAACATTTAATTAATTAAAGAACAGAAATTTAATCAGATTATAAAAACTTTACGGGTCCTAATCTTTCTATTCCAATAATATAAAATATAAAAGATATATAAATTGTACTTCTCTTATTAAATGAAATTCATTAAGATAACAATCATTTTTTTTATTGCTCGAAAATAGTCAATCTATAGCTTTCTCTTTTCTCCTTCGTTTATCGATGACTAACTCTCTCCTCTCACGAGCATTCCTGAAAAGCAAATAAATAAAATTTTGGATTAAAATTGAAAATTCAAGAACTTATAGGACCATAATAGAAGTTGAAGGGAAATACATGGACAGCACATAATTTTCTGTGCAAGTCTGAGATTGGTCGTCGCCTTTTACTTCTAATTTTATCATTTTTCTTTTAGTTACCTCTTTATACTACAAATTCAAACCAAACTCATTAAATTTGTCTATAATCAAAATTTTAAATCCTATAAAAACTTTAAAATCTAAAAAAACCCCCAAGGATAAGAGATTATCAGCGCACATAACATAAAAAACAGCACATTATTGGATGCAATTGGGAAAAAATATAATCAAAAGGAAAAAAAAAATCAAGTAATCCACAATCAAGCCGAGACTGTGCAGAGTTCAACCCTCTACAGCGTAGCTCTTTTAGTTTTCTTCTTGATCTTGATTTTTTAATTTTTTTTTATATATAAATTAGTCTTTAAATTTCAAAGATGCTGTCAAGGACGAATACTTTATAATTATATAGGTATCTCATGTCCATATCCGAACTGGATTCGATATTTATAGATGTATATCAAATGCTTTTTGTGAATGGTAAAGAACCTTCATGTTGGTAATTAATAAATAATTTCTAATTTCACTAATTTTATATCTACAATTACATGTCACGTTAAACTCTCCGACGACAATCTTAATAAAAACATTAATAAACAAATAAAAAAGAGGGAGGTTTCACCATAACCCCTCTCATATTTTATTGTTCATTACTGTAATGACTATTTTATTGTTTCATGAAAAATTGTATGTCTTCTGAGCAAGATTGTTTTGGTATTTTCAAAAAATATATTAATTATAACTTCTTTTTTTTGTTTGAGATGTTCATGTTTATTCGGTGTTTTATGAATAGTAAAATAACTAAAATACCCCTCAAAAATAAAAAAAATTAATTATCTCAACTATGAGTATTTAGATATTTTTTATTTTTTATATATTTTAAAATTACATATGTATTCTCGAATGCAAAACATTTAATTTGTTATAATAAGAGATATTTGAGTCTTTTAACCTAATTTTTGTTATTAACTGTAAGTTTGGTTAATAGTAGTGATGTAATTTTCTTTTAAAATAATAATTTTTAATTAAAAAATTATTGACACATACAGAGCAAGTGTCAGCATGTTGGAACAACCATGGACATTAGGTAGCATGTATAACGGTTTTTGATAATAAAAAATCTTTTTCGTTATCTTAATCAATCCATCTCTTCTTTTATTATAGACGACATGTGTTCTTTAAATATGACAGATGTATTGTCGATGATCATTTCTTTTTCTTCCTTCATTTCTCTTTTATATCTCTGTGAATATATCATGATCCTCTTCGTTATTTTTTATTTCAAATTTAGATTTTTTAGTTTTGATTGTTGTTTTTTTATTCATTTTCTCATTTGTTAAAGCTTTATTTCTTTTCAATTTAACTCTTGCCTTTTAATATATATATATATATATATATATATATATATATAAGGTATTTTGATTCAATTCTTCTACTTTTATTTTTAAAAAAGTTTTTATGTTTTTCAATTTTATTTTTTAAATCAAGTTTATGAATGTGGTTTTTTCAATGATAATAATGATTTCAATTTGGTCAATTTTCTCTTATTTTTTATTGCTTTTCTTGGCCTTTTTATCTATGTTTTTATAATTTTGAATTATATCCTTCGAATCAAGTTTATAATTTTTAATAATAACAACAACAATAGTAATAATAATATTAATAGCAATAATAATTATAATGATGGTCATGGTAGTATTAATAATAATAGTAGTAGTATTAATAACAATGATGATGATGATAATCATAATGATAATAGTAATGGTAATGATATTACTTATTAATAATAATTGTGACAATAATTTTATTATTTTTGAATTGCTATTTTTTAAAAAAATTTTGTATGATTATAATTTTTTTCTCAATTTCATCATTGAATATTTATTTTTAAAAATATCAAACTTTGTGATTTTTTATATTTGATGCTTTAAGTTTAATGATTAGGATCATGAGTTTACACAATTAATATATTTTTTAAAAAAAATTTATAATTTTTTAATTAGATTATTTTAGTCATATAATCTAAATTGCAAGTTTAATAAAATGTTCTATATTGGTTTAATTTTAATTAATATTTTTACGTATTTATCATAAATAGTTTGTTTATTTATTTATTTATTTTTATCTATTTTTAATATCTAAATATTATTTTTTATTCAAAAAATTAATTCAGCCTCACCGAAAAACATGGACAAAAAAGCTAGTTCATGATGATAGTAGGAGATATGCTTAGTTAACAATTAAACTGGTAAATATTACATGAACAACCGCCAAATCTCCAACTATATTTTCTGGTTGGAAGTGAAGGATGGTATTGTAATACCTTTAGCACTTTTATTAGCATCGATCTTGATCCCTCTTCCTTCAATTGTTTGATCACAACAAATCTAAATTATATTTTTCAAATTAGATCACATCAAATAATATAAACATAATTTGAAATAATGGAATTTAAAAGAAATTAAATGCAATGACCAAATGCGAAAACGTTTTATGAATATGGGTTGTATTTAATTAGATTCCACCTGTCAAACTAAAACACCATTTGTTTTGGGATTTTGAACTGCATTTATGAGTGTTTTAAAAATATATTTATCTTGAAAAATTATCAGATTGATATTTTTGATGTTTTTATTAATTTTAATGTATTGATATTAAAAATAATAAAATATAAAACAATCAGTTTAATATATAATTTTTTTAAAATACACTTCACATCATAATACTGAACAAACAATAAGAAAGAGAGATATTGTACGCTGTAACTTCCTTTTGTTTCTTTATTTTCTTATTTTTTCAATTAGTAAGTTCTTTTTCTCAAAGTGAAAAACACGCAATAAATAACAGAAATATCAGACACGGGTTTATAGAAGCAGGTTTATAATCCAAAAAACAAAATATATATTGGAAAAAAAAATCACAAAATACGGCATCATATGGCTCCTTCAAGCATAATTAGGGTATGCTTTGAAAAAGATCGAATGGTTGATA